GGTGGATGATTCTCTCTAATCATTGATGTTTCTCTTTCTCTCTCCTTTCCTCTCTGAAATCAATAAAAATATATATTTTAAAAAATTTGATAGTATTAATTCTGATTGGTTCCTTCTCAAATGCCTTATCGCACACAGAGGCCATGTGATCTAGTGCCAGCCTGCCCTCTTGTCCCTGGCACACATGCTCTTTCAGGCCCCTGGGCCTGTGCACAGACAGTTCTTTTTGCTTTCGATGCTCTGTTCAATTGGGGACTCCCTGCCTACCCTTTAAGCCCTATCTGATATTCTCTCTCCCTCTGTGATGCTGTCACCGACTCAGTCACCCAGCTCCACCTACATTTTTTTACAAGGTATTTGGTGCCAACCTCCAGGGTCATATTTCTTTTTTTGTTGTTTTCCATCACATTATATTATAATTACAATTGCTTATTTGTTTCTGCCTGCCCTGTTCCTTGAGGGCCAGAATAGTGTATTATTCCTTCTTGAACTGGGATCTCTTTCTAGTGATGGCCACGTCTAGAGGGTAGTTAATGGTTTCTCTGAGTAAGTACCTGTCCCTGGAAATTCTTGTTGACAAGCAAGCATGGGAAGAAATAGCCTGGTCACCATTGATTGGTGTTGGTGTACAGTGATCTGCTAGGTTTGAGATGCCCTGCTCTGCACCCTGAAGCCTGGAGATGCTCTGTTTTGATAGAAGAAGTGAGGGATAGAAAACAGGGCATTCAGTCATTAGCACCACCACCAACAACAAAACAACACAAAGAACAGAACAGCAGGGCCGCCGCTGATGTGTCCTCCTCACGGACTGAGCAGCCAATTGCTTGTGACATGGACCTTTCTCCTTAGTAGACACTTTTGTCTTGCTGCCGTGTTCACTTTGCCTCTTTATCCCATTCCATCCCTTTAATACTCTTGGACCATAATCGGCCTTTTGCTCTATGCTTTTCTTCTCATTTAGCCCTTCTGAAGGTGATAAAGATATGCCAACCCAGATCTAGCTGGCTTGGCTCAGCGGATAGAGCATCAGCTTGTGACTGAAGGGTCCCAGGTTCGATTCTGGTCAAGGGCACATGCCCAGGGTTGCAGGTTTGGTCCCTGGTGGGGGGTGTGCAGGAGGCAGCCAATCAGTGATTCTCTCATTGTTGATGGTTTTTTTTTTTCTCTCTCTCTCTCTCCTTTCTCTATGAAATTAATGAAAAAATATATTGAAAAAAAGATATGGCACCCCAAATATGACGCTCGGGCATAAGAGTTTTTTGAGAAGATGGGAAAACCAAGATTGTGGCATAGGTAAACACCGGAGATTGCTGCTTAGCACAACCACTTCAAGAATACAACTAAAAGATGGAACGGACATCATCCAGAACCACAGGAAGGCTGGCTGAGTGGAAATTCTACAACTAGAAGGAAAGAGAAAAGCATACCGAGACTCAGAGTGAGCTCCAGTTCCGGGCGAGTCTCTGGGGACCCAGACTCATACGGGGAGAAACTGGACTGTCTGGCATCGGTCGGAACTTGAGGGCGGCTTTCTCTCAGAGGTGCTTGCAGCGATTACGGGACACTGAGACGCGGGGCCTCTGAGGGCAGCCACAGCTGCTTGCTCTGCCCTGTTGATCCCCTGGGACCTCCACCCAGCCCAAGCTGTGCACCTGCTTTTGCATATGAAAGGCCTAGCCCTTTGCAATCTGAAAATTACCTAACAAACTTGCAGCTGGCCCAAGGCCTCAGGGAAACTTGCATTGCTTCACAGCTGAGCTCCTGCTGGGTAGCCTCAGGGAGAGGCTAGATTAGCACCTCCTTAGAGATCCAGGAGCCAGTGTGCCCGGTGGTCAGAGTGGGACCATCCAGATTGCAGCTCCTCGGATCCATAAAGGAAACACTCAGGGGGCAGACTCAGTGAGCACCAAAGCCCCACTGAAGCAAGTCTTGCCCTGGAGGGGTGTCTCCAGCACAGAAGTTCTCCCACTGCAGACACAGCTGATTCTCACAGCCAATTGGCCT